TGGTTGTCACATAAGCCTAGGCTGAAAAAGCTGCCAGTCACTCATTGTGGACTCCTATTCTGATGTAACCCCTGTGTAATCATTGCGATTGTGACACCCTGTCTGGAGGACATCACCAGGGCTACCCTATGATTGGATAACACATTTATACATATCACGGGAGTAGTTTTCTCCCATTTGACATCCTTTGGTCATATCAGGTCTTTTTCTGACTTTGAAGACTGGGTTTCTGGGAATCATCAACTAATAAGCAGATCATGCAATGTTTTAATCGGTTTCCATGGAAGTCAAGACTTCAACAGTTTTACTTACTTAGGTGATCCCTCATAGTCCAAGGATGATGGTCCTCCAAGTGTAGCGTCTTGGCTGTGGAGCCCTATTCCTGATCTGCATGTTCTCCCTCAGTGAGGACATTTGTTTCCAGGTGCATGGTGATCCCGGTCAAAGTTGGCACATTTCTCTCTTTCGCTCTCTATTTGTGCCTCTTTGAATTCTGCTGCATTGCTGGTCACAGCTGACCTCCAGTTAGAGTGCTCAAGGGCCAGGGCTTCCCAGTTCTCAGTGTCCATGCCACAGTTTTTAAAGTTGGCTTTAAGCCCATCTTTACATCTCCTTTCCTGTCCACCAGCATTCCATTTTCTATTTCTGAGGAGTATAGTAACTGCTTTGGGAAATGGTGATTGAGCATTTGGACAACATGGCCAATTCAGCGGAATTGATGGAGTAGGAGCAACGCTTCAATGGTGGTGGTCTTTGCTTCTTCCAGCACACTGACATTTGTCCTCCTGTCTTACTAAGGGATTTGCAGGATTTTTTTTTTTTGAGGCAATGCTGATAGAATTGCTCAAGGAGCTGAGTGTGATGTCTGTAGACAGTTCACGTTTCCCAGGCATATTAAAAGGGTTGGGAGGACAATAGCTTTATAAACAATCACCTTAAAGTGGTGGCCTTTTAAAATCCAAACATCTCCATGTCTTTTTTTACAAACATCACTACTCTTAATGCAGATCACTGGGTACTACAAGTTGTCTTGATCCAAAAGCTCAATGGAGCAGGCTTGAGACAATGATGTATGCTACATTTACATGTGAGGATGAATAACCAAAGTCTCCATCTTGTAGAGAAAGCGGGTATTCCTCCACCATATTCCACCTGTATTCAAATGTTTCCAAGTGTTCAAGGAGTTATTCTGGGAAGAAAAAGGTACAGTTTTTGGAAAACTATAAATATCCAATTTTCCTTCTACTTTCCATGAGTAATCCCTCATGTGAGGAAGAAATATTTTCATTTTCGGCCATCCAACTTTCTAATCTCAATATTGTCCATTGAATAAATATGGTGGTGCTAGGGAGATCTTTAAGTTCCTAATGATTTTTAATAATTTTTTAAAAAAAACCCATTAAGTACAGATTTTATTTCAGCCTTAATTAAGAAGTCTACAGAATCCAGTTATCTTAGGGGAAAATTTAATGAATTAGTATTTTAAAAAGTTAACGACATATTCTCAGATTTTGATCTTAGCAAATGCAAGACAAAACTGGTTTCTCAATAGGTACTAAATTAGACTCCTTTCAGGTATGCATGCTTCTCACCATCAATGTTGAAGAAATATCCAACTGCTTCTCCAGTTAGTTTTTATATATGGAATTTGAGGAAGAATGTTTTTCTTCAGGTACCAAAGAAGTGGTTAAATTACAAGCTTTTATTCTACTAGATGTTATAGCTTACATTTTCAGCCAAAGTGAGATGAAAGGCACCTGTAGTTTCTCCTGTGTATTCGGTTAATGGTTCTATCATCCCTTGTTACCAGATAATATCCAATCAAAATGAGCATCCTGTTGGTAGCATGTGTCCATGCATATGTGCATATGTACCTTCGGATAATCTGTTGGCCTATGGTAAACTCATGAATTTCATAGGAATTTCTTAGACAAGGAATCCTAAATTATGGTTTTGCCAGTACTTTCACTTGAAATATATTTGACAGCACTGATATTCACTAGTGATCTATCCAAGTACAAAGCAAGATGGACTCTGCTTATCTTCCTAGATTAGAGAGGACCAAATACCCTCAGGTATAACCCTTTATTTTTGTTTGACATTGAGGAAACCAGAAATATTTACCTTCCACATGCAGGAATCAAAATTCCCACCCCCATCCTTATTTTTTTCAAGCTGCTTTCTCTGACATAGTCAATTCATGGTTGGCAGAGAGCAAAGGAAAATTGAGGCCCCTTATACACTGACATATAATCCAGTTCAAAAAAGATAATCTGGATTTTATATGGCAGTGTAGAAGGGGCCTGGACGGGTCCTACGAGGCTGTGTGCTATATTGCTGTAACCAGATGTACAATGATGAAGGCATCCACTGGGACTTTCTTAGAGATTCTGAAAGAAACAATATAATTGATATACACATGGTCTCCTACTTGAGTCCTGAAGGAAGGAAGAGAGAAGACATATTGAAGTTCTGCCATAGTGGAATTTTATAGCCTGTCTCTCAATGCAGGATCGCAGCTAACATCTTTGACTGTCACAAACCACATAAT